GGGTCTGGCAGCCAACCACCTGTGGCCCCTCCCCCTGGATGGCCCTACCCCTGATGGGTCCCCACCACCCCATCAGCCCACAGCCTCTCTTCCTGGCTGGCCCCACCCCCAACCAGCCCCCCACTCCAATCAGGGGCAGGGCTGGCTGGCCAACCACCCATGGCCCCTCCCCAAGGGCACTGGCACCCGATTGGCCTCCCCCCACCCCAATCAGGGGTGAGGCCCACTGGTCAATCACCCGTGGCAACTCCCCGCAGCCGGCCCGGCCCTGATTGGCCCTGATCTGCCCCGATTGGGGTGAGGTTGGTGGGACCCTACCCATGCACGAATTCATGCACTGGGCCTCTAGTTTCTCAATAAAACTGGGGGGCGGGTGGATGAGCCCACATTGGTTTGTAATAATTTGGACTTCCCCATATTTGAACTAAGGGTATGGTAGTCTTTCCCTGCTCCTTCTCTTCCCTACCTTCTCCAGGGAGCATTTCTCAACCATTTCTCTGTGTCTACCTAAAACCCTCCTGGGGCAAACATCAGGGACTTCTAACCCAGTAGGACCTATTCTCTTGTCTCTTTCCCCTTAACATTTAAGCTTGTGCATTAATGAAAGAAAATTTAATCCATATGCTTCTGAGTCGTTTACACTTAACACTTCAAAATATTCTGTTGTAATGGTCATTTTTGTCACAAGAATCCTCCTGAGTCTTTACAAGGCCTTTTATTCTTAGCAGTCTCAGTTTAGCAGTCATACATAGAATCTAAACTCCAGAAGGATAGTTCTTGATCTTTATCATTCTTCACTTATTTGGTAGACCTTGCCAAGCTTTTCCTACCCTGAAGTAAGAAAGCCTTTGTTCTAAGACACTTTATGTTCTTTTTCTTATATAATCAGGATGTTAATAATTACTATTTGCTGGGCGTAAACAATGACATGCTCTGTACTAAGAACTTTTCTGTATCTTTAATCTTCAAATTTGTATAACTATAAATTTTTCCCTACTTTTCAGAACCCAAAGCTCTGAGAGATAAAGTAATTTGTCTAAAATCACCTGGCTGATAAGAATTGAGATGAGACTATCTCCAAATACAGCACTGCACTCTTTCTAAATTAAATTAAAACCACACATCTGATGATGCTTCAACTTCCATAGCTAGAGGCATTGTTAGCAGGCCCTCTTCACCCTGTCTTTTTGGCAAACTTTATTCATCCCAATTCAAATGGCATCTCCTCTGGAAGGTTTCCCTCTTCTTTGCTGTCTTATACATCCTTTTTGTCACACTACAATGTAATATAATCATATTTTTCATGTCCATTTTCCTTTTAGACTATGAGCTTCTTGAGTTCAGGGTTATTTATATCTTTTTTCTCTTTGTTTTCCCAGAGCCCAACCCAGAGTAGATACTTAATAGATATCTGCTGAACTGAATATCTCCTAGTTAAGACTGAGGTGCAAATGTCTTTCATTTGTTCATTATCTATTCCAGGCATTGAAGATAACGCAAGAAAAAACAAGCAAATCACCTCCTCTAGTCAACACCACTCAGGTAGGGGCCCTACTTCTTCACTCCCTATGGAGCGTATCTGTTTATTCTCTTTGGAGCACAGATCAGTATAGTTTGCATTGGAGACACTATAAAACAACAGTCCAGTGATTGGACTATGGCAACAGCCCACCTGACTTTGAACAATTTACTTAACCTGAGTTTCCACATGAATAAAATGAGGAAAATACCTACCTGTTTGGGTGGTTGCAGAACATATCTATATTGTAGACATTACATGTAGAATTAGAATGGTGCCTAAAACACAGAGTTCAATAAATATTAGCTATTATTATCACTTTGTCTCACCCAATGCATTTGTTTCTCTTTCACTGCTAACCAACTTAATTAACCTATTATAAACTAAGAAATTTAGTGAAATGATCTCATATGATTGTTTCACATACTATGAAAGGCTTTTGTGTATTGTGAAGTAATGTATTAAGGCTCTCTAAAAATGCCAACACCAAACATATCTAGGATGTTGAGAAATTTCATACAAAGCACAATTATTAATTGATCAGATGTTCTCTCACTTTCTCCCAACACAGATATATTTTTCCACCTCTAAAATTTCTACTATTAAACTACACTTTTATTTTTATTTATTTCCTTTCTTATTTCTTCTAAGTCTGCTTGTCTAACCCTGTGTGAACACATAAATGTTGATGAAGTCAAAGTCATAAACTCACTCCTTTTGCAAGTAGATTATTCACTGTTGGATGGATGCAGAATATACCCTGAATCTTGGCCAATGCTACTAATGAAAATCATTTATCACAAGAGATGTCAATGGGTGAGATACCACCCTACACTTTAAAAACTTTAAATATCTATAAAATATAATAACTAGGTAAATGGAAAATTTTCACATGCAAAGCCATTCATCACAATGTTATTTTTAATTATTAAAAAATTTTAAGTAAATCTTCAATAATAGGAAGATGGTCTAATAAACTTTATAGTTGTGCAATGGAATTTAAATAATGGTTTACAAAGATTTTTAAGTGACATTACTATATTATAACTTTAAAAAGCAGAATATAGAAATGCTTTTAATTATGTTAAATTGTGCATTTAAATAAGTTTATACAAACACCCATATATGTATAAAAAAGGCAAAATTAGAAAATGCACTAAAATGTTAACAGTGGTAATATTTGGGTAGTAAAATGAATTACGGGTGATTTTTATTTTCTTCTTTATTATTAACTAGAGGCCTGATGCACGAAAATTCATGCAAGAGTAGGCCTTCCTTCCCCTGGCTGCTGGCACCGGCTTCCCTCTGGCACCCAGGACCCAGCTGCTTCCCTCTTCCAGCCATCTGCAGGCACCTGGGACCCAGGTTGGCTTCCCTTGAGCCGCCTGCAAGCACCCTGGACCCGAGCTGGCTTCCCTCCGCCCCGGCTTGGTCAGGAAGGACGTCTGGAATGACGACCGGAAGACGTCTGATCTAATTAGCATATTACCATTTTATTATTATAGATAGTATCAGTTTTTAATTTTATTGACTGTGTTAAATGACTTACGTGAATTCTCTCACATTTGTTTCCTCATCTGTAAAATGAGGACAATGAGAATATCTGTTTTGCAAGTATAATGTATCAGATGAGCTAACATAAAAATAATTGACAAATTTTAAAAGTAATGTTTAAATATTAAATTATTAGAAAACAGTATGACTTTATTATATGTATGAATTATAGTAGTCAGGATTGGCAATATTTTTTAGAAATTTTTGTTTA